TAATTTTATTCCCTTGCAAAGATTATTTTAATTTACTTGGATTCAATTTATTTAACTCAATTACCACGCTGGTCACAGGTTGTAGGACTCTATTAAGAATTTTCATTCTCTTGCTGAGATTGTTTGTACTTGGTCCATTTTACTCCATCCGGTAGTTGAGCAAGTAACGGATTATAATGTAGTATGTGTTAGAACCTATTCTGAGCGTTTTTTATTCTTTTACTAGCTGATCCTACCTTACTACGTACCGCCTCAAAATTAAATAAATCAAAAATTTTTTTTTTTAGTTACACAATAAATTTCTGAACGCACCTTGTTTGACAGGTATCAGCAGTTTGTATGGGATAATATAATTGTTTTTACTATTTTACATGTAATTTCTTCATATTTAATTTATTTATTTTAGGAAGATTAACAGTGTAATTTGACATATTAAATTGTCCTATAATTAATAACCGTTGATCACCGTTTAAACCTTTCTGGACCTCCATAAATAGTTCAAGACTAAAATTAACTAAATCGGTTCAGCCGTTCTCGAGTTTTAGCGAGACTAACGAACAACATCATTATTATTCACCTTTAAAAAACTATACAAGAATTATCTATGTACTATTTAACCTATAAATCTTACGGCAAAGTAGTTGTATATATATGTTTAATGTTTATATTTATTAATGTTATTTTATTCTATTTTGTTCTTTCTAGTATATGTAATTGGTTTCTATTTATTAGTTGTAATTTTGTTTTAATTATTATCATTAATATTTTAAATAGTGCCCTCTCTCTCTCTCTCCCCCTTTTATATATATATATTTGGTGCCACTGAAAACCAGCTGTATGTTCACCTAGGACATACATTAAAGCTGAGTGGAGCCATTTCAGTGCATTTTTGGATGTAAAAAAATGATTATTTTATGTTTATATTTAATTATCTACATGGTAAATTAAGTTTAATTATATGTACATTTTATTTGCTCTTTTTTTTTCGTTTGTTGTTTATATTGTATTTTTTACATTGCACTGAATAAATATTTTTTTCTTTCTTTCTTTCTTTCTTTCAACAATTCATTTTTATATAGATAGGTTGGAACAAAAAGAAAAGCTTATGGTATGGAATATTCTATAATATCTGCCTGTATCACAAAATTACATATTGTTGTATACGTATATGTATATACTCACACTATTCCTAATGTATAGAAAAAGAACAGTGGCATCGATGACACCTTCTGCTAGAGTAACTATTCCAGCTATTCTGAGGGTGGTTGTGAGAGGGCGCGAGGGGTGCGTGGTGCGGGTGGCGCGTGGTAGGCTGCACCTAATGCCCGCATTTGTCTCCTGGATCCGTTCACCTCGTGTACTTATCCCGACCTAAGCACGCCTAATGAATCGAGGGACGTTTATAAATTGACACCCGATTTGAAAACTGTTGTAACCATGGCTCATGTGGATACTTGGAACAATGGCGGATGGTTAGTAATTATAAATATTGGCCCATCACCACTACTGTATCCCTGTAGCTGTCCCCAAGTATCGTTTAGAAAAACTCAATAGGTCTCTTATGGGAATAGTTATAAAAATTTACAATAAGATACCAAAGGATATAATGGAATTGCCCTTAAATAACTCACTAAATAATTACTTGAATGACGAGCGTGCATGGCAATAATTGATCATGCACGGGATTCTCATTTAATGTTAGACATAGACACCTATATAAATATACATTGTAAATAAACTAGCTTTATAAAAGAAAGTAATTCAATTGAGTTTCTTGCCAGTTCTTTTCGATTGGATCTATATACTAATATAGATCCAATCGAGAAGAACCGTCCAGTTCGGTATATAGTACATAGTGTATATACCGACATGAACGGTAGGGAAAAAATTAAAATTATAGTGTAAAAAACTTGACGTTCTACTGTCTAAATGTCCTACATTAATAAATGATTTCTGAATTTGAATTTGAATTTGTATCACGTCAGGTTGACCTCCACGCGGTCCCCCCTATAGATATAGATAGACTATCCAACCTAATTCTTCCTATCATCATCCACTGATTTTCAAGTGCAAGGTGAACAAGAATACTTAGATACAAAGACATTTTTTAATACGTACATAATATACATAGAAAATACCTAAACCGATTCAAACAATCATACTCGTGAATACAAATGTTTGCATCCTGCGAGGATTCGAACCCACTACAATCTCAAGTAAAGCGGTGTAATAAACTGCTAAACAACCGAGGTCGTCAAACTATACGTATACAGTAGTTGATGAGTAGTTTCATCTCTCCGAGTCCGGCCATCCACCTCCCGGGTCGGTTGGTAACTTAGCTGTTTCTTCATATTTCTAACTTACATTCGCTTTCGAGAGTTTATTCACTAAGTTTCTGCAAATGTCCATTAGCTGCCAAAGTGGCAACTCGCACGAAAATTCAAACAATACTTTATTGTATAAACTTGCTTGGCCTCCGTATCTGGGGTTGCCAACCGTACTCTTAAATAGAGTAATCTACTCTATATTGTGTATGCGTACTGTATAATCTATAACATTAATAGAGTAAGCTATAATTTATTTAGTTCTCATAATATTATATAATAATAATAATAATAATAATAATAATCTTAGGACAATTCACACAGCGCCATCTAGTCCCAAGTTAAGCTAGCTAAAGCTTGTGTTATGGGTACTAGATAACTGATACAAATACATAGATATTTTTTTTTGTAAATACATACATATTATATATAGAAAACACCCAGACCGATACAAACAATCATACTCATGAATACAAATGTTTGTGCCGTGCGAGGAATCGAACCCGCGACCATCGGTCGTAAAGCGGTGTACTAGACCGCTGGACCACCGAGGTCGTCAATATTATATGTAACTGTTTAATTTGACTAACTATTAATAATTAAATATTGTCATTCACAAGTACCTCGAACCAAAGTTAGTGGTGTTGAAAATGACGTTTGTTATAATATCTCGGTCTAGGACACGGGAGGAGATCAATTCAGTTGATGATATCAGCACCTCGCAATTAACAACAGCGTACAACAACAATAGTAACTATTACAAACACAAGTGGCTGTACACGTCGCTATAGAGTTACATTAAAGGTTTACTTATAACGACTTCGATGTCTTAGCTGGCAGCTTCTATATAGTCTATAATAAATATATGTATAAATACTACATATATATAACTCAAAGGACTGACTGACATAGTGATCTATCAACGCACAGCCCATACCACTGGTCGGATCGGGCTGAAATTTGGTATGCAGGTAGGTGTTATGACGTAGGCATCCGCTAAGAAAGGATTTTGATTAGTTCTACCCCCAAGGAGGTAAAATAGGGGATGAAAGTTTGTATGAAACTTTGTCAATTTTAAACCGATCGAGCTGAGACTTTGCATGCCATAAAGCTACTATGACGTAGGCATCCCCTAAGAAAGGATTTTGATTAATTCTACCCCCAAGGGGATAATATAAGGGATGAAAGTTTGTATAAATCTTCATAAATATTCGACTGATTGAACTGAAATTAAAGATTGGAGCTACTATGATGAAGACGTTTGCTTAAATAGGATTTTAATAAATTCATCCCCAACAAGTTTCTTAGGCCCTAATTTTTTACACACGCTAAACAATTACTTTTGTTTAGCGTGTGTAAAAAATTAAAAAATACTAATAAGCCGCAAATACTATACCTAATTAATAATAAGACTTCTTAACGCGAGCGAAATGGCGAGCAAAAGCTAGTTCTTTTTATAAACGTTGTACTTTTGATGTCTGTTTCTGTATGTCACTTTTGATTGTTGTATCTCTTCGTTGTGAGCCCTTTTGGGAAATATACATATTTATTTATTACTACTATTCTGATTTACAATAAAATAGTGGTCGTGATCCCGCTCCAGACTCACTCTTTTTTACACAATGTTTACTATACAAGTGGCAATGGCAAAAATCATATTGTTATATGATATGTATGTGCTGGAAAAGCACTAAACAATACCGATTAAAAAACACCAATTATTTAAAAATCATTATTACAAGTATAAAACAAAGTCGTTGTCGCTGTCTGTCCCTATGTATGCTTAAATCTTTAAAACTACGCGACGGATTTTGAAACAGTTTCTTTAATAGATAGAGTGATTCTAGAGGAGGGTTTATATATATAATACATGTACACCCGTGCGAAGCCGGGGCCAGTAGCTAGTATAAAATAGAAGATACTCTTTTTTGGAAGTCTGTACTCTTTATTTACCTCCTTTTAAATCAGATATACTCTATTTTTATTATTAAAAGTTGGCAACTCTATCCGTAGCTATTAGTTTTAATATATGAGAGTACAATACGAGTATACACTCGTGTTATGTGAATAGTCGGTTCCTTTATTGTGACTGCAGAAGAAAAGAGGGTAATGGCTAAACGCCTGACAGATTTTAATAAATCGTAGAATATATATATCTTTATTTTAGGAGCGATCGGCCAAACTTTGTAGTACGGATCAAACTGCTTTCGTTTGAGCTGTACCTATATTGGTATTGTTATTGTTTATATCAACTGAACAAGGTCAAGTGTAGGGCAGGGCTCCTGTCGCGTTTAGCTTGCACAGTATGAGTTTTATTTGTTTTTTTTTCCTATAACATATTTGTAATTATCATACATGTGGGATTAGATGGCGCTGGGTGACCAACTCACCCATCGCCATCTAATCCCAAGCTATGCAGAGCTTGTTATGGGTACTAGATAACTGATATACTTTTACAGAGAAACAATTTTTTTTTAAATACATACTTAACATACATAGAAAACATCCAGACCGATGCAAACTATCATACTCTAGAATACAAATATTTACAACGTGCGAGGAATCGAACCCAACGAAAGGTAGTGAGCGAATCCCTAGACTACCGAGGCTGTCTGTGGGTAACACGACTTTACTTGCAAATATATTTTTTAATAACTTAACATTTGTTACATGTAGACGGCTAGAAGAAAACCTGCTGACCGTGGTGCCAGTGGCCGTGCAGCACCTCCCACTGCTGGAAGACCTGTAAGTAACGATACCACGAACTGGAAGAGTTGACTCTATGAACTTGTCAAAATGTACTTTTACATTTTTAGAATGGACTAGTATACCCTCCAGAACCAATTTCATGGAAAGTGGTAATTGTTGTCTAAAGACGTTCCTGAATTCACTGATATGGCCGTAGTAATGTTTCCAGTCCTGAGAGCCGATGTCGTGCCTACGTATCTTGTAATTTCACTCCGTATCTCAGTCTTTAAACCAAAACATATAAAGTTACCGTGTTGGAGCAAAGAGTAGTAGTCACAGCACCAGGCACGTCGCCGACACTAAACAAACTTTTAAGATTGAAATTTCTAACAGAATGGTTTTAAAAACAACTGCATGTTAGTATAGTTTGCAGAAGAAGAAACGCCACTACACATCCTATGTGGCTGTAGCCCTCTCATAGATAAACGAAATATGTCCTTTGGAAATTACACTATATCCTGAGGAGATAAAACCATCGCTCCTAAGAATATTCTTCAATTCTTGTCTCTCACGGCTAGACCCGTAGTGTAGCGAACTTTTAATATAACGTATCATTACATACATAGTATAAAACAAAGTCGTTGTCGTTGTCTGTCGCTTTGTATGCTTAAATCTTTAAAACTACACAATGGATGTTAAATCGTTTTTTTTTAAATAGATAGAGTGATTCAAGCGGAAGGTTTATATATATAATACATATACACCCGAGCGAAGCCGGTGTGAGTAGCTAGTCTTTGAATATAATATTCGGTAACGAGCACTACAGATCTATACAGGTCGCAGTGTTACAGGTCTTAGCAACTGATAACAGCCCAAACCCAAAAAAATAAAAATTGTATAATTTGTTGTGTCTTGTTGTAGGTCTGTGGCGAGCAACCGTGTGGAGTCTGTGGAGGAGGGCACGCTGCAGCCGTGCAGGCGACTGGCGCGGCTCGAGCTGCGCGCCAACCCGCTGTCCAGGCTCCACCACCGCGCCCTCGAGCACCTCCCCTACCTCACTACCCTGTAAGTACTACACTTGCTACTTGTGGCAGCTCCGCACTCTGTGATGATCATTCACATCTTTACATAGTATAAAACAAAATCGCCACGGCTGTCTGTATGTTTAAATCTTATAAATTACGCAACAGATGTTAATACAATTTTCAGCAATAGATAGAGTGATTTCAAGAGGAAGATATGTATAATACGTGAAACATTATAGAACAGAAATGTCGTAAAATTAAAAAAAATGTAAACTAATACACGCGTAAGAAGCCTTGGCGTCTCGCTAGTTATGTCACTTTATTATCTCAAATTTAAAATGAATCTGTATTATTTTAAAACATTTTTTTGAAAAGAATATGAATTGTTTCTTGTCAGTTCTTCTCATCTGGAAATCATTCCCAACTGACGGTAGATTTGACATATCATAAGAGTCTGTAATATACCTACATGAATAAAGATATTTTGATATTTTTTTAACCGGTCTCCAATAACATTAACTTCATTTTTTGAAAGATGGCGAGATCTCATCTGATAATTACCAGAATACCGTGTGTCAATTTAAAATGCTGACTTGTCCTTCAGTACTAGAAAGTACCAATAATACCATATAGTTACTTGATGTACCCTTGTATTGAACACTTAATCTACAGTTGTTAACAATGTGAAACCCTCGACGTCATTTGCAGTGTTGCTAAGCCTACAGGTAGATAAGACCATTGTTTGCATTTCAATAACCACCAACTTTGATTAGATACCTAACATTGAAAATATATAGGTGTATCGATAAATATACTAGGTCGCCCTGCCTACCCCCTACATATGTAATGTCCAATTTACACTCAGCCCGAGTGGGCAGGGAAGTGAACAGCGCGAGAGTGTAAACACGAGTGGAAACACTTCCCATGCCATTGGCGCTGCCACTCGCGCTGCCCGACGCACCCTCGATTGTCGGTTTTTCGTGCGCGAGTCAAAGGACTGGCAGCGCGAGTGGCAGCGTGTTTTTACATTCAGCCCTCTCGCTCAGTTGTCGCCGGCAATATTTCCGGCGAATGGCAGGGGAAGCGGCTGAATGTAAACGTAGCATAAGGAGCACTAATAAATGATGACGACTTAGGCTTTGAAGCCGGCTACCGTAAGGAAAACAAAGTATGTTGTGTTTACCACAAACTGCACAACACTGGGGTTAAAGTCGTACGTTTATGTAATGCTTACCTTCCAGAGAATACCTTGACTTCAAGGAAATAGTTTCGCTAATTATGTTGTCAGTACAGCACAGCACGTCCTGAGATAACGTGTCGCAACCACTGTCTCTTTTATGTTATTTCTTTGTTATTATTCTCGCTGTACCCGCGGATTCACACGCGTGAAAATAGCCTATATGTTATTCTGATGTATACGCTATATTACTGTAAAGTTTCATTAAAATAAAATCAGTAGTTTTTGCGTGAAAGAGTAACAAACTACTCGTATATGTAATATATTAGTTAATAATAATACTCACTTAAATCTTTAAACAGGTGGCGTCGTGGTGGCTGCCTGAAATATATACTTAACTATTTTATAATTTTGTGATTTTTGCTATTTGGCAGTTTGTATTCTCATACAAAATGAAAAAATGTTAAGTTGGACAATATTCGAAGGAGCAGCACGCAAGTTTTTAGTTAAACAGCTGATATAATAATAAATACTTTTCTTCCTTCCGCATTCGGAATATAAATGCGAAACACAAAGACTTTTGACTTAAACTGTGAAATTAAAATATAACAAACGTCACTTCAACAGCTCGTGGTCAAGTAACTCAAAACCAACAACTCCCAACTACCGACCTTATTCACGACAGATATACTGACAGCGTGATTGACTGAAGACTGACAGTGTATTGTCGCAGAATGACACTATCAACGTAACGTATGACATGACCCAAGGCTATAATCTTACACCCGTAATTATATTCATCTGGAGCAAGGAACATAATACTCTAAAGAGAAGTGTAACGTACAAAATAAAATGCGTAATAATCCAATACTACTAGCGCAACAAATTCCGCACGGAATATTTTTGCACTAATAGTGGAGGGAAATTCAAATATTTTGCATTTATAATTTTATTACTTATGTCTTTATACGGTCAAGAGCTTCATCAAACACGGATATTTTGCCTTTATGAACAAAAAAAAACCAGGCAAATTTAGACTTGAATGGCAAATATAACATGTGCTTGATCAAGCTGTTGGCCGTCTGCAGGCTTCATAAAAACTACCATACTTTGATAGATGATCTGGAGCAACCACTTGTCGTCACTACACGCATGATTAAGGACGCTTTAGTATCTTGATTGATTGATATTCGACAAATTAATCAAAACATCTTTGTGCTCTCATCTCGGTCTACAGTAGATTCGTGAGATAAGTAATTTATTTGCATACTGCTACTTCAGAAAGCAATTTCAGCCGAGAAAAACTGGATACGTAAATTAAATTTTAATTGGAGTTGATATTACTTTCAAATCGGTAATTAATTTCTTAAATTAATTTCAAGAAGAATACCACTTTATTGTTTTATTATTACTAAATTAAAGGCCTCGGCAGTCTAGTGGATACACACACCGCCTTACTTCCTATAGCCGCGGGTTCGATTCCTCACACAGCACAAACATTTGTATTCATCAGTATGATTCTTTGTATCAGTCTGGTTATTTTCTATTTCTAATATGTATGTATTTACAAAAACAAGTTATCTATTTGTATCAATTATAGCTTTAGCTAGCTTAACTTGTGTCTAGATGACACTGTGTGAATTGTCCTGATATTATTATTACTAATATAAATTTTATTCGTTTTTGGAGCTGTGATGCACATTAAACCTAAACAATCAGTTGTATCGTTTTTAAGATATAATTAATGTTCTGTTCACTACAACTATCTTTAAAAAGAACACACTGACACTTCACAGAACGTCATATTGACCTTACTAACAAATACAAACCGTACAGTGGTACCCTCTACTGTTTACTGTCTGTCCAGTACAAGCATCGGTTGCTCACTCTACTTAGTAGCATAGAGTAACCGGTTGGTCACTCTATTTTCTTGAAATTAAAAATGAATCTGTATTATTGGAAACATGTGCAACATTTTAAAAGAATACGAGCTGAGTTTCTTGTCAGTTCATCTCGAAATCATTCCGAACTGACGGTAGATTTGATATACCATAAGAGTCTGTAATAGACCTACATGAATAAAGATATTATGAATTTGAATTTGTTTACCGTAAATATTTACGACGATCTATTTATCATACAATTTCTCTACAGTAAATATAATATTTTAGGAATTATTTCCATACAAAATTTATGTATTTTTGTATGGAAATTATAGACCAGCAAATTTACCTACATGAATAAAGATATTTTAAATTTGTTGCAACTTACAACACGTGTTACGTAACTATAACAAGCTCAGCACGCCAAACTTTTTCCAATATACCCGATAGGTATCACTTGTATCTAATTAAGTATACTGCAGTATAAAAGAATCTTTACAGTGCATTTTTTCATAAAAAATTGCTATAAGAACTAGAGATAAACGGATAGCAGTTTGGCCGGATACCGGATACCGGATATTCGGCCGGATACCGAACAGCCGGCTTATCTAACTAATAAATACATTTTATTTCTATAACAGTCATTTACTATTGAGTGATTAAAAATTTAAAACTAAAACTAATTTTATTCCTTAAGTAATACTAAGACTAACTAAATAAAGCAAATAATTACTTAAAAAAGTATTTTTTATACCCAGATATTTTTTACTATTCGGCCGGATAATACTAAGGTCACCGGGTAGGCCGGATACCGGATAGTTACCGGATATCCGTTTCATCTCTAATAAGAACTGTACCGACAACCGAAATCTATTAGTTATTTAATTAATTTTCAACTACCACTTTCATTAATTTCTAATTCACATGGCCACTGTATTGTTTTTACGAAATCAATTTGCCAGCATTCATCTGCAAAGGCGACGCAAAGTTTGCAGTCAAAACTCATTTCCGTGTATCTAACCCAATTCAAGTTATAATTTATATTTATTCGAAAAGAATACTGAGCTGAGTTTCTTGTCAGTTCTCATCTCGAAATCATTCCGAACTGATGGTAGATTTGATATATCATAAGAGTCTGTAATAGATCTACATGAATAAAGATATTTTGAATTTGAATATAGTCAATCCTCAACAACTTGATATACGAAGTTCTACCAAAAACATGAATGAAGCCATCTAAGGTACCTCATCCAGGGACGGGGTAGCAGGTGCTCCATCACTTTGTAAATAACATAATTAGTTTTGGTGCTCGCCTCCGTTTTATTATCGAATGTTAGTTTACGAGTGCGTCTGTTCAGTTTGTCCTTTCTATTTACGATCTCTGAAACTACACTGCCTATTTGTTACGCTAACATTTGTTTTGTGACTTCGTCTATGTATATTTCTTAATTATGATTATATTTAATATACTAATGATACTTCTACCATCTTGTGAAGTTTAATTTCTAATTAAGTACACTGTACTGCTGGTACCTATGTATCGTGCACTTAACATGCACAAAAACCAAATCACAGTTCTTGTTCTGTGCCTTGATATACAAAGTACGCCTCAATACTTAGAATAGAAAGCTGATAAAAAAATAATTCTGAAATTACAAATAATATCTTGTTAACTTTACATGAACAACGTTTTTTTTCGGACTACTCTAATGCAACAGCTGGCCTTTAGTTTCACCGGACGATAGGGGGCGAGTGCAGAAGGCACTCCAAATACACTGAAGGACTTATGGAGCGGCTAAAGGCCAACTCCCGCCTGACGGATACGACATTAGTCTGAGGGCACCGCTTGGGGTTCGAACCTCGGCTCAGGCCGTCGTAATATCGAATTTTTGAATTGGACGGGGGATCGATCGGAGAGGTCATGAACAACGTATGGACGTCAAAATACATTACGTCGTTAACTACACTCCTCGTGCGTTA